CTATATGATTTTGTAGGGATGAACTTTCTTTTGCCATGTTATTTTGAGAAGACATGATTACTTTGATTAGTATGCTTGAAGTGTTACTATTTCTTTTATCAATATGAACTTTTATTTTGAATCATTTGGCATTCATGCCACAATAAAGAAAATTACATTATGAATTATGCTAGGTAGCATTCCACATCAAAAATTCTATTTTTATCATTTACCTACTCGAGGACGAGCAGGAATTAAGCTTGGGGATGCTTGATACGTCTCCAACGTATCTATAATTTTTGATTTTTCCATGCTATTATATTACCCCTTTTGGATGTTTATGGGCTTTATTTTACACATTTATATCATTTTTGGGACTAACCTACTAACCGGAGGCCCAGCCCGCATTGCTGTTTTTTTGCCTATTTTAGTATTTCGAAGAAAAGGAATATCAAACGGAGTCCAAACGGAATGAAACCTTCGGGAGCATGATTTTTGGAACGAACGTGATCCAGAGGACTTGGAGTGCAAGTCAAGAAGCAGCCAAAGCTTCCACGAGATAGGAGGGCGCCCCCCCCTATAGGGCGCGCCCCCCTGTCTCGTGGGCCCCTCGGGCGTGCACCGACGTACTTCTTCCTCCTATATAAGCCTACGTACCCCGAAAACATCCAGGGAGCACCCGAACCATAATTTCCACCATCGTAATCATCTGTATCCGCGAGATCTCATCTTGGAGCCTTCGCCGGCACTCTCCCGGAGGGAGAATCGACCACGGAGGGCTTCTACATCAACATCCTTGCCCCTCCGATGAGTTGTGAGTAGTTTACCACAGACCTACGGGTCCATAGTTATTAGCTACATGGCTTCTTCTCTCTTTTTGGATCTCAATACAATGTTCCCCCCCTCTCTTGTGGAGATCTATTCGATGTAAACTCTATTTGCATGTCCATTACCAAAGCTTGCAAATGTAAGTGTTGCAACCCAATTGCAACTACACTGGCCAGCAACCCAACGACTGTTGCAACCCTGACTGCAACTGTAGTGACCCCAAACGTGATTGCAACTGGCAGTGATTTTCGTTTTCCTTTTATTGTAGAAAAATAATTAACTTTTTAAAAAAGGTGAACATTTTTAAAACTTGTGGCAAAGTTAGGGGTTATGGGCCAGTTGCATGTCCACCACTAGACTTGCAACTGCAAGTGCTGTAACCCGCAGCAACTATATGTCCCTCAACACGACTACAACTGGGCCGGTACGAGGTCGTCAACCAATTGTACTTGTCCACCACTAGGCTTGCAACAACAAGTGTTCTTACCCAATTGCAACTTCATGGCCCCCAACGCGACTCCTACTTGTGGCGAAAGGGGAAGGTGCGTTACCGTCCAGTTGCATGTCCGGAACTAGACTTGCAACTACAAGCATTGTAACCCACTGCAATTGCATGGTCCTAAACCCAACTACAACCGCCTTGGTAGGGGGGAGGGGGCTTGTACATGTGGTGAAAAAGGACATGACAACCATCAGCCAGTTGCATGTCCACAATTGTTACTTTAGAAATGCTAACAATTTATTCTTTTGCTTTTTTGATTTCGTTTTATTAAAAAATCATGATTTTTTGTAAAATCAAGATGTTTTTAAATTCATGATTTTCGCATATTTATGATTTAAAAATTCATGTTTTTATAATTTGCATCTTTTTAAAATTCATGAACGCTTGAATACTATGATTTTTTTCATCTTATCATACCACAACAATGTAGCTGCTTTCTGTCTTTTTGAAAAGAAAATTTTAAAAACATTTTTTAGTTTTTTTAATTTGTATCATACAATACACTGAATTTAACTTCTTTCAACCAATGGAGCGTTCAACTTACTTTTGTTTTTTTAGTATATACTTTTTAGGGTTAATATTGCCGCTTTATTTAAACTTGAACTTGGAACCTTGGAATGTCGGCCGAAATTACATTAAGAACAAAGTCTTGGGACCCCCAACCAAACCTTACATAGTTCCTCACCGACCCCTACCTTCCTAACTTATGCGCGGCAATATTAGCATAACGACGCACCCAAGAAATCTCAAAATCATCAAAAGATGTAAGTACAACTTTGAGCTCCTGCACCCACGAACCGGCAGCATCAAGACATATCGTCGACTGCTTCAACATCTGAACCACATCCCTGTGAGTCAAGCTCCACATGAACCCTTGCAGCATTGACCTCTCTTGCCACCTCCGGTCCATGCCTGCATGCTAAAATCTCTGTAGCTTCCGGATCGACGATAGAAGGATAATGGTGACATACTGCTGCTAGAAATGCTCCATTGTGGTCCCTCAGTATAGCCCCACCGCCACCCTTGTCGCCATGCTTCGACACAGTCTCATCAGAGTTCACTTTTATCCAGCCCTCCTCATGTGGTTCCCGACGCTGTAGCTCCCTCGGCGTCGTCGTCTGAGGTCTGACCGCATAAACAGCAGGACATTAGCTCATATGGGCAGAAATGGTGTTTATTATTTCATGTGGTGGCGCAATCTGTTTCCCATCCCTCGTCTTGTTTCTGGCCAACCAAAGTTCATAAGTTGCGTGTACCATTGCCTCCTTCCCTTCATCAGATGCACCCGTGAACCAGTCGAGGAGCCAGCGAGCAAGAGCACTCTGGGAGTCGATAAAAACGGTAGGATCGCCACCGAAACTCCCTTCTCTGAGTAAAGAAGCTGCCAGAACCTTACTGAATGTTGACATGCCCCAAAACGATGATAAATGGTCTCTTCCCTCCCGCGTGCAACACAAAAAACGCCTGGTCTTTTTAGTATATATGAAGGCTTCTTTTTTTTAGCGGTTTTATTTTTGGAACGTACAACCTAGATGCATTTCGTTTGCTAGGGCTTGGTGTTACGGCTTACTAGCACACGTTCGTGATAAGCTCAAAGAAAAACACACGTTCACGATTCTTTAATTGAGCTGGCCATTACAACTCAAAAAGAAAAAAACTGGCCATTTAATCTCAGTAGTGTTTCATCTGGTGATGCTTTGAAACAGGCCGATGAATAAAATAGCCCTGACGTCAGCTAACAACCACTTAACTAGGCCAAGCTAAATTTTTGACGGAAAGTCCGTCGGCAAACTGGAAAACAACAAACAACGACGAGAAATTAGCCCGGGGGACAAGAAGCAACTCGGAGCCTAACCTGCACAATGAAAACGGACTCAAACAAAAACGACGATGTCAGCTGATGCCAGGTGAATGAAACCAAATTGTATCTCATCCACACTCCCTAAGAATAAAATTCTTGTTCATCCTCAAAAAGAAAAGAATAAAATTCTTGTTGCCCAAAGAAGAGAAAATCCTTGTATATATCTTACTAATAAATGAGTTAAATCCTCTCATAAATATAGAAGGGCGCGGCGACACTCCTCATGGTCCCATTTTATTACACCCTCAGTTCCTTCTTACTCCGAATATAAGATTTGTGTAGAGTTAAATTTTACAAACTTTGACCAAATTTATATAAAAAATATCAACATCTACCATATCAAATATATTATGAAACTACATTCCATAAAAAATCTAAAGATATTCTTTTATCATTGTAAATATTGATACCTTTTTCTATAAGTTTAATTAAACTAGAGATACTATGACTTCAAACAAAAGTTATATGCAGGAAACGGAGAAAGAAACGGAGGGAGTATCCGATCAAAATAGCCAGTACTCTATATTATTATACTGCAGGGAATCTCCCACCGTCCACCCCCCGCCCCCGCCCCCGCCGCTTGCTCCTCCCCTTCCGCGCCCTCGCCCCGGATCCGA